TATATATATACTAGCAGACCCCGCCACGCGTTGTTGTGGCTCAAAATGTATCTGTTATATATGTAAAACACATTTCCCGTGGAGGGGGGAATTTTTCGAAAATTTTTTTTTAGTGTACATTCTCTTGACGTACCCTATTAAAATGCAATCAAAAACGAAAAACCCGCATGTAAAATAATATAATGAAAGCCAAGTTTTTCACAGTAAGCCTTAATTCTGTCTCTCTCCCCCGCAGGGGGAATATCGAGAAATCCCTTCTTAGTGTATATTCTGTTGACGTACCCTATTAAAACGCAAAAAAACGCAAAAAACCGCATCTAAAATAGTATAAATAGAAGTAGAGAGTTCTTTACGGTAAGCCTTAATCCTGTCCATCTCCTTCCAGTGGGGGAATTTTCGACACGTATATTATATAAAAACGTGCCTATTCGAATGCAGCGTTGTATAAAATTTTCAAAGAAGTCGGTAGGAACAAACGAACATTACATTTTTACTTATATAGATAGATAGAAGATGATCTGCTTTAGTTCATTTTTACAGAAAAGCAAACTTAGGGCGTTGTACTCGTAGCGCCATCTGTTGGACATAAAAGCCTTAACCTAAATGATATCTTTTAATTTATATGAATGTTTAACGGAATAATATACATCCTATGTCCACCCTGAAGTTCCATTCTAAATATTGGTGAAANATTCTAAAGTTTATAAAATATTATTCTTTAATTATTGATAGTTTTTGTAATTTTTGTTAAGTACAGCATAAAAATTTTCATATAAATCAATTTTTATTTGAACTTATAATCATGCAATATAAATAAAATATAAAGGGAGAGGCTATAATTATTTTTAAATATGACATTCATACGCTTGAAAAAGACATTTCCTTTAATTTTTACGAGATATTTTTATGCATTTTCGTCACCGTATGTCTATTATAATTTCGATAATCATTTCTAAAATTCAAGGACAGAACTTCCATCGCATTCAGAACTTCCTTAAATGCAATTCTGAAAGAACAAAACATCAGAGAAAAAAAAACTTTTTGTGAGACACTACATAATAAGTATTATTCACAACAAAGATGTATTATTAATATGAAATTGTTTTATGTCTATAAAAATACGGATTCAAAAATAGATGCAAAAGTTTAATGAATAACGTCATAAAACGAGTGTTATTTCATCCAATTACAATAGTTTTATTAATTTTTTAAACATCTGAAATCTTATCTTTTGTTTCTGATTAAGAGTAAAAATCGATAAAAATAGCATCTGTTTATTACACCTGTCTAGACCGATAACGCTTACTGTTCGTACAGATATAACGGCGTTTTCATATTTATATTGTATAGCTTTAAGAGTCGTTTTAGGTTTACCTATACCTTGTAATTTTAATTATACTAAAGCCTTTAGTCAATATCAACTAATGAGGGACTATTTTCTATCGGAAAATAGTCCAAATTGCATTTTGGGTTTTTTGTTTCCATACTTATGTAGTCATTTTTGTGTTTATTAAACGTTTTCACTTAGATTCTGTAGCGTTTGTGCCTATTATTGGTCTGATAAGCCCTCACTATTATCTGCCTCACGGTTGTTGATAATTTAAATGTCTAAATTTCATCTTTGAACCAGGCATTTAAAGGTAAATTCTTACCTTGACAACACATTCCACATACTTCATTTTTCTAAGGTCTTTGGATGTAATAGAATTATTTGTCTTCACCGAAAATTTTTTCCAGCTCCTGGTAAACTTTCTCTTGTATATCCGGATGCAATCCGAGGAGAAAAAGTGACCAACTAATACCTATTGCGGTAGTGTCGTGTCCCTAACAAAAAGACAATTCTTATACATCCTGAATTTTTTTTTAATTTGTAAATGAAACTGATTTTACTGCGAACATGAATGTATCAACTTCTTCTCTGATATCCTCTTCGTTGAGACTTTTATCTGTTAAATGATGATCAAGCAGTAAATCCAGGAATGCTCGCCTCTTCTTTATGGACAAAAAGGTTTTAACAAAGGAAATTCGAAAATCGATTTTCAACAACCGAAATTCAACAATCTATTCCTAACAATCAAACGCAACTATCTATTTTTAACAAAAATGAACAATTTATTTTTTTACAATAAAAAACAAGCAATTTATTTATAACAATAAAACCTCACAATTTCTTTTAAACTAGTGCAAATCAACAATGTGTTTTGAACAATCAAGAGCCAACTATCCATTGCAGTAAAAAGACATCAATCTATTTTTAACAATAAAAAATCAACGATGTAATTTTAACAATCAAAAATCGAGAATTTTTTGTAACAATCAAAAATAATCAATTTATACTCAACAACCCTGTTCAACAATGAAATATTAAGAATCAATTCTTAACAATCATAAATTAACAATCTATTTTAAACGATCGAAAATCAACAATTTAGTTTCAAGAATCGATAATGAACAATTTACATTTAACAATCAAAACCAAACAATTTATTCTCAAAAACCGTTATTCAACAACCTATTCTTAACAATCAAATACAACAATCTATTTTCAACAATCGAAATTCAACAATTTATTCTTAGCAATCAAACATAACAATCTATATCTAAAAATTGAAAAATCGACAATTTATTGTTAACAATCAGAAACCAAAAATTTTTTTCAACAATTGAAATTAAAAAGTGTACAGGCATACCTCGACTTACGTCGTTTCGAGTTACGTCGTTCCCGATTATACGTCGCTTGTTAAAAAAGTATATGGAAAAATAAAAATCAAGTTTAAGTCATTTTATTCGACTTTACGTCTNAACCCGAGTCCCCAATTGAGTCGGATAATCGATCCTCTACTGTATAAACAATCATATGACACACGAATTTAACAGGAGTTAATTCTTCCGTATGATTTGGCTGGAATTTTAGCAAAAATTATAGTAATATTGTTTGTATCCATCCATGTCTAAAATATATTTCTGTATACTTTCAGAAATTACATAAACTACAGTAGTATTCCATCTTTCGTGTTTACAATCAATATTTAAAAGTTATGCATAATTACTAATCTTTAAAAATCTTTATGGATGGTTAAATATCATAAAAATTTATTAATAAATTGATAAACAATATTTGAAGTTAATATTAAAGACATTAATTTCTGAAGAACTGTGATATAACCTTTTACAATACAATAAATATCACTTACTTTTTAAAATTCTATTTGCAAACTTCTATCGAAAAACAGTCAACTGAAATATACGTAAGATCACGTAAAACACAATAAGACAATGATAATATCAAACACGTACTGTACTGTACAACCATTGCTATGCTATGTCTAAACAAATACAAACCAGATAGCTCTTACTGGCATTTTATATGTAATTCTAGAATATTTTAACAGATGCCATAAAAATATATTTTGTTAAAAATATCATCAGTCAAAATGCCGCCTGTTTATTCAGCTGCCTTTTTATGGTAAACAACTTCTACTCCTGCATGCAATTGTTCTAAGAATTACTAACGGCAAATCGAAACCAGATAGCGCTATTTAACAGCAATTTTATTGTTCAGTTGATAAAGGCTTCAAACAACGAATAATTATCTGGAATCTGCTCTAATCCCTACTGAACATTTGCTTGTATTTTCTACGTGTTTACAGTCTCGAAGTTTTTACTGAAATTTGCATCAATCTTTGATTAAAGAAATCTCGAATTTATTAAAATTATCAGTATAAAATTAATATATCATGACATTTAATTCCATATTGTTATTTTGATATTTTCTACTTACCCATTGATTGCAAGAAAGTAAGCATTTGATTTCTTACTTTGAGCATTTATAGAAACTCCTAATGCCGTGGCTAATTTTTAAAAAAAATATTTTTTTAAAATAATTAATATAATCCTCATTATATTATGTATATTAATCAAATATTTATGTTTACCTGCAATTATATCTAAAGAGCAAGGTTTAATCATTTCTATGATATCACACACTTCATTTCTCTTTAGTTTCTTAAGTTTTTCTATTAATACATTTGACTGTTCATTAAATATGCATTGAAACTTTTCCAAGATACGAAAATGAAAAGCTGGCATTAACAGTTTCCTTTCCTTCTTCCATTTATCGCCTTTACTATTAAATAATAAGCATGTAAATTACAATTATCCTCGTTTGACCTTGATTATTTGTTATCAACTTACGTATATAAAATGGAATTTTCTCCAAACCAAAGTTTAAAAAAGTCGTAAGTTCTATCTTTGTTAATTATGATGCTACTTTTTAAAACTTCCTATTTAAATACAATTATTAATATACGTAATAATGACAATATTAGTGAGAAGTACAGAACATAATACAATACCTGAGCAGGTTCTGGATGAAAAAACAATATATAATTACGTCCTCCCCACGATGATATGACCATCTTTTCTTTCAAATATAACATGGACATACCAGTTGTAACTTGCAAAAAATCTATAAATTAAACAGACGTTTAAGACTAATTATATTAGGCTTTATTATATTTAATATAATATATCTGTTTACAGATTCCAACATGAGAAGAATAGTTCTGTACTTTTCGTGGACAGAATAAACTGTTCCATATAATCATCGTTTCTGATATTTTTGGTAATTTTTGTTTTCTTTTTGAAGTTCTTTTATCTTCTTGTTTTATTTCTATAATAAAGTTAATAATTAAATAGAAATCAATAAAATAGTTAAAAATTATTATTTCTAATTATGACAGGATCTGTATTAACAACTGTTAAAGGGAGACTCTTGTACATATTTCCATAACGTTTAACACATATGAACAATAAGTGTTTATAATAGACCCATGTAAAAATTCTCTTATTAGTCTGGGAACGGGGGGACCTAATTTTTGCATTTTGTGAAAACGGATAAGATTGGCTATAATGTAATCTTAATCTTAATCTTAAATGTTTTGGAATAGTCCAGGACCGTTATGTGTGAGTAGTGGGGATTGCTTTTGGAGACGTGTGACGCACATGCTTCACTTGAATTTTCATAAGTAAAAGTGTACGAATAACAGAAAAAAGTAGAAAGTGTAAAGTCAATGGTGAAGTATAAAAAGTAAAAATATAAAAAACAATGCCAAAGCGTAAGAAAGATTTTTTGCGGTCTCGAATCATATCTCAAAGGCAAAAGATGGCGCGGAAAAATGAATCCATGGAAGAACAAGAAGTACGTCTAACATTGCTACGAGAAAATTATCAACGAAACAAAAATAATCAAACAGAAGAGCAACTTGAAAATTATAGGGAAACACATCGAATCAGTGAAAGATTATGTAGAGGAAGTGATACAGTGTTTTATATAAAAAAACTATATTATATATAAATGTACGAAGAAATAAAAAACCAGCAAAGCCGGTATTTATAGCTAGTTCTATATAAAAATAACATGCTCTTCAGGATTAAACGTAGGTCTGGGAAAACTAGGCAACTGCTTATGGACGAAATCTGATTGGAGCCGATAACTAACTTTGTAATTTCATATGTAGTTAAATAACATTTTATAAACAATTTTATAGTTGTCAATATCAACATAATAACATGGCTAATTAAGAATGAAAACATTACAATATAAGAGTACAGTGAGGAAAAATCAAAAAATTTCACTTACCAATGTCTTTCAGAGATTTATCTTTCCACAACGTAGACAAAATACTGTCGAAAGCGAAACGTGCAATTTCTATAGTTTGGATGCATATTTTTCTAATAATCTCTTTCTCATTTTTTATTAAATATGCTCCAAAAATCAAAATAATCATTAGAATGGCAATGACTGTAATTTGGAGAAAAATCAGATGTAGCATTTTTCGTATTATAATACTAAATACAAACAATAAAATTATCTATCAGACTTAAAGCCACTCTCTTTCTGTTTCTTTTAAATAGAACAGAAGACAATGTGCAATTATCTCGTAACAAAACTGTAACCTTCTATATGAAAACTGTATGATTAATAATAATAATATATTATAGAATCTACAGGAAAAAGTATGAATAGAAACAAAAATAGCGATATATAACAAAGGTTTTATATATTATTATACGGATATTCGCATAAAACAAATATCTTTTTATTGATTTCTATGCCAGGCGTGGTTCTCTGGTGATGTGCGGGCTTCACGACAATTCGTAGCTGCACTTTAATTAAATATTTAAAAAGTAATGGTTGTTTCACACGACAAAAGTTATTTTTTAGTAACAGTGGAATTTTATATTAAATATTTCTACACAAAGTTATATAGTATTTTGCGTTTGTAATAAGGTTTTTTGAAAGCTTCTAATATATATTTCTGGTGTAAATGTTTTTTTAATTTATATTGTCATAAAAGATTAATTAGTGCAGGTTATTTTAATGTTCGTTAAATGAATAATTTCAGTCTTACGTGCTATTGAAGTTATAAGAGGTCTCCGGGTTAAAAACTAACTAAATAAATAAATAATCAAATATTTATAGACTCTACATGATTTTAACACATAAAGAGTTAAATTAAAACTATTTTGAACATCTGAATACCTAAACATAAATAATTATATGCATATATATTATAAAATTTGAGGACTAATTGAATACAGGAAATAAAACATTAAAATAGAAAATGGTGGTTATTGAATGAAATCAATAATTATGAACCAAATGAAAAGGCTAAAATTTTTAATTTTGAAAAATTTTAAAAGAAATTATATTTGTCCTTAGCATGAACGAAGCTATTAATACAAGTATAAGAAACATTAACATTGTACAGGGATTAAAAATGAACACAAACATGAGTGAATAAATCCCCGTTCTAATACTAATAAGTATAATAATAATAATTTTTCAGATGAACGAAGCTATTAATACAAGTATAAGAAACATTAACATTGTACAGGGATTAAAAATGAACACAAACATGAGCGAATAAATCCCCGTTCTAATACTAATAAGTATAATAATAATAATTTTTCAGACCTATTTGGATTATAACTTGTGATTTTATGAAATGTTCTTATTTTTAACTTTAATTTTAACTTTCCTTTTAACTATATTTCAAATCAGGTATTGAAAATTATTTTGTTTGATACACGATTATTCATCGACAAGTTCAATACTTTTAGATATCGAATTTTCAAGTTTAATTTCCTATTATTAAAAACATATAGAATCAATGGGGCATATAAACTTACACGGCTAATAATTTATGAAAATTAATCATAACTTACTCACACAACATTTTAAGTAGAGGAGAAGGTGGTATTATGGAACTCCAATTATATTTTAGTGAATTGTAAACAAGGTACCGTAACTACACCCACATTTTTTGTGCGAAAAGTACTGGTAACTAGTAAACTAAATGTTCCTAATTGGATTTTTCGCTAGTGTCATTATAAGTATGGTTTTTGAAGGCTTTTGTACAAAAAGTCCGAAAGTAGGCTTAGAGAAAATCGGGTGGAAATATGGAACCTTACCAAAAAAATGCTTTAATGTAGCCAAAAACAAATAGGAAAAAACAAAAAATGTTAAATAATTACCAAATTATTTACTCCAATGTTTTTTAATCGCAAAAATGCTTTTATAATAGAAAAATATGACCTCCAACAACAATATATATTCCAGCAGCTCTTTTTCGATATTCTCGGGAAGAATTGGCATTCTACCTAGTGTCTTTTTCACAAATTGCTCTGGAGGAATGTCTGCTTGCAAATAGAAAGTTCGGAGGAGTTGAGTTCCATATTACTGTAAAAGCACCAATGGGGTCCGTATTTCACGCATCGCCATCTGGAATTAACTTATGTCTGTCAAGACCAAAATTTAAAAAAAGTGAACATCACACAGATTAATATGTACCGCTAAGTCTCTGGAACGGAATACATGCACCAGTGAACCTACAACTACACGATTTATATTTTAAAAATAATTAAATTCACTTAGCATTCAAAACTTGCAAATTTTGAAAAAAACAAATTTGCTGATTAAATACAGACAACCGTTTAACTGAAGTAAAACGGATTTTCCCCTTGCTATGGATGTCTGCCTAGTTCAGTTCAGCCACATTCCGCTATCAGTTCGAAATGGGGTGGTTCCATAATACCCGCAGTGTTCCATAATACCACCTTCTCCTCTACTTTTAATAATATTTTTTGTGTATGTATTTTGTAAATATATTCTATCTTACAAACATTGTAAATTTTGCAGAACTCGTAAATTTCGACTATTATACCAATTATTAAGAATATTTTGTATTGAAAATGTAAAAAATGTATGCGATTATATTAATTCTCCACTGCAGTATCTGTAATATCTATACTTCTATATCTTTTCAATCAAAACAAAAACTATTTTAGTAATATTTTTCTTTTCTTATTAGAATAGATTTATATTGTGAAGATCCCAGTGTTTCAAAAGCAAAATAAGTTAATTTTCACAAAATCTAGAAAAACAATGAATGGATTTAGTCAAAGATGTAAGTCACAATTTCAAGAAAACATTTTAAATGTTCAAATGGAAGGCAAATAACATACAACACCGATTCTCAACCTTCTTAGCTCCGCGACCACCCAAATAGTAAATATAAACCTTCAATCTTCTTAGCTCCGCGACCCCCACCCACCCAAAGAAATAATAAAGAGGTTGCGGCCGACGTTTCCATCGAGAAAACGTGTATGTCGGACGTTAAATACCGTATTCCTGTAAGCCTAGAAGTCCTAACAATGGCGTTTGGAACGTTAGTGGAATCGTTCTCGAAGTTCCAAACTCCATTGTCAAACTTATAGGCTTACAGGAATGCGGCACTAAACGTCCGACGTACACGTTTTCACGATGAAAACGTCGGCCGCAACCTCTCTATTAACAGTGAGTTACTATTGCTAATCGAATTTTGACTGTAATTATAAATGTAATTTTTTAAAATTATTATATAATCACATTGCACTAATTTTATACTTTAAGAAAGAAAATACTGACAGTATAAAAAATGAAATACAACTATTCCTATTATTTTATGTGGCTGCATTTATAGCGACGGGTATGAACATGCATGTATGACATGTACAGTACACACATGAGCAATTTACAAGTTTCAACTTGATGTGTATTTGTTCTTTGTAATTTGATTTCCTTCTATAATACTCGCTGTGAGAGCATGTTTGAACTTGCATATGGATGCGTTTGAACAAGTTGTGCTGTCATAACAAGATAATAGAATTTTAATCTTACTGTATACAATATACTAATATTAAACAGCAATGGTGTATGATATTTAAACTTGTATTTTGTGGAATACGAATATATTAACAAAAATATTTAAGTGTGTTAAACAAAAGATCGTATTATTAATCACTCACATGGCTTCTTTTCTATTTTTATTCTTTTCTATTTTAATCAATAAAGATGAAAAAGAAGCCACGTGATTGATTAATAACACGATTTTGTGTTTAAAACTCTCAAAAATTTAATACAACACGGTTTCAACGCAAGAAATAAAATATTTAAATAAAAAATATATTTTAAAAAATTTATAGAAACACATAAATTTCTATTTCAGCTTTCGCAGTATTCTTGTTATTATGCGTCCAACAACGAAAGCGTGAATATTTGTTACGTTTTCAATTACAATGGAACGTTTCATTGGAGTTTGGTAGATCATATTACAAAGCAATTGTCTGCACAAATTTTGCTTTCTTCTAATATCAGATATATTTATTATATGCAAATGTCGATGTCTTATTACAGATGGCTACTCATCTGTCAGAATGCACCAGCCTAGTGCAGCGTGGTATTATACGGTTTTGCAATCAAAAGATATAAAAGCAAGTGAAATTTATCACTTGATGGTGGTTCAGTATTTAGACAGTCGTTTAAGCAAATTTAAGGTGTAAGATTGAATCGAAAAATTTAAGGTGGCCGATGAGATGAGAACCGATTGCTTCAGCAACTATTGCAACAGATACAAATTGCAAATAGATAAGTAAATTAGCATTTCTTAAATCTTTCGGCCGAATCATACAATGTATGGTGTCTGAAACAACAGTCTTCATACTGCGCCAAATTTCAGTGAGAAATTTCTCTTGTTTCGAAACCGTTTGACCGCTGAGGAGCAGCAAACGTATAACAGTTTGCTGCTCCTCGATGGTTCATTCTAACAATTAGATGATCTTAGATACAACATTCCTCATGTGTATATAGGAAGATTGTTGACATAATTACATATTACGTGCTCAGATAGTATCATCTAGAAAATTTCAAGAAACATGGATTTTCTGTCTATTATAACATTAACTATTTATCACTTTAAATTAGTAAAATCTTTTATAAAATTAGAAATTGTTTAAGAATCGTAATATCCTTTTAAGAGACAACACGATACAAAGTTGTATACAAAATGTTAATTGCCAAAAATTATAAATTCTAAAGTTTATAAAATATTATTCTTTAATTATTGATAGTTTTTGTAATTTTTGTTAAGTACAGCATAAAAATTTTCATATAAATAAATTTTTATTTCAACTTATAATCATGCAATATAAATAAAATATAAAGGGAGAGGCTATAATTATTTTTAAATATGACATTCATAAGCTTGAAAAAGACATTTCCTTTAATTTTTACGAGATATTTTTATGCATTTTCGTCACCGTATGTCTATTATAATTTCGATAATCATTTCTAAAATTCAAGGACAGAACTTCCATCGCATTCAGAACTTCCTTAAATGCAATTCTGAAAGAACAAAACATCAGAGAAAAAAAAAAATTTTGTGAGACACTACATAATAAGTATTATTCACAACAAAGATGTATTATTAATATGAAATTGTTTTATGTCTATAAAAATACGGATTCAAAAATAGATGCAAAAGTTTAATGAATAACGTCATAAAACGAGTGTTATTTCATCCAATTACAATAGTTTTATTAATTTTTTAAACATCTGAAATCTTATCTTTTGTTTCTGATTAAGAGTAAAAATCGATAAAAATAGCATCTGTTTATTACACCTGTCTAGACCGATAACGCTTACTGTTCGTACAGATATAACGGCGTTTTCATATTTATATTGTATAGCTTTAAGAGTCGTTTTAGGTTTACCTATACCTTGTAATTTTAATTATACTAAAGCCTTTAGTCAATATCAACTAATGAGGGACTATTTTCTATCGGAAAATAGTCCAAATTGCATTTTGGGTTTTTTGTTTCCATACTTATGTAGTCATTTTTGTGTTTATTAAACGTTTTCACTTAGATTCTGTAGCGTTTGTGCCTATTATTGGTCTGATAAGCCCTCACTATTATCTGCCTCACGGTTGTTGATAATTTAAATGTCTAAATTTCATCTTTGAACCAGGCATTTAAAGGTAAATTCTTACCTTGACAACACATTCCACATACTTCATTTTTCTAAGGTCTTTGGATGTAATAGAATTATTTGTCTTCACCGAAAATTTTTTCCAGCTCCTGGTAAACTTTCTCTTGTATATCCGGATGCAATCCGAGGAGAAAAAGTGACCAACTAATACCTATTGCGGTAGTGTCGTGTCCCTAACAAAAAGACAATTCTTATACATCCTGAATTTTTTTTTAATTTGTAAATGAAACTGATTTTACTGCGAACATGAATGTATCAACTTCTTCTCTGATATCCTCTTCGTTGAGACTTTTATCTGTTAAATGATGATCAAGCAGTAAATCCAGGAATGCTCGCCTCTTCTTTATGGACAAAAAGGTTTTAACAAAGGAAATTCGAAAATCGATTTTCAACAACCGAAATTCAACAATCTATTCCTAACAATCAAACGCAACTATCTATTTTTAACAAAAATGAACAATTTATTTTTTTACAATAAAAAACAAGCAATTTATTTATAACAATAAAACCTCACAATTTCTTTTAAACTAGTGCAAATCAACAATGTGTTTTGAACAATCAAGAGCCAACTATCCATTGCAGTAAAAAGACATCAATCTATTTTTAACAATAAAAAATCAACGATGTAATTTTAACAATCAAAAATCGAGAATTTTTTGTAACAATCAAAAATAATCAATTTATACTCAACAACCCTGTTCAACAATGAAATATTAAGAATCAATTCTTAACAATCATAAATTAACAATCTATTTTAAACGATCGAAAATCAACAATTTAGTTTCAAGAATCGATAATGAACAATTTACATTTAACAATCAAAACCAAACAATTTATTCTCAAAAACCGTTATTCAACAACCTATTCTTAACAATCAAATACAACAATCTATTTTCAACAATCGAAATTCAACAATTTATTCTTAGCAATCAAACATAACAATCTATATCTAAAAATTGAAAAATCGACAATTTATTGTTAACAATCAGAAACCAAAAATTTTTTTCAACAATTGAAATTAAAAAGTGTACAGGCATACCTCGACTTACGTCGTTTCGAGTTACGTCGTTCCCGATTATACGTCGCTTGTTAAAAAAGTATATGGAAAAATAAAAATCAAGTTTAAGTCATTTTATTCGACTTTACGTCTGTCCGCCACAAATATTGAAGTCGTAATATCACTAGATAAACGTTTAAAGCACATAAAATCATATTAAAATATATACAAGTATGTACTGTATTTACAGTACATGCATTCGTAAATTTAGAATACTTTTTTTTGTACTATATTAAAAACTAAAATTTATTTGTTTGTAAGCTTAAAATAGATTTTTATTAACCATATATTATTAAAAATGCATTAATAAATAAAATACAGAACAGGGAATGGTAATTTACGGTTTAGCCTAGTGATAAGTAGATTCGGAGACAAGTAAATTCGACTTACGTCGTTTTCCTGGAACCAATTACCGACGTAAGGCGAGGTATACCTGTATTCGTAACAATTAAAAATAACGATTTATTTTTGACAATCAAAAACCAACAAGTGTTTTCACCAATAAAAAAACTAATAATTTATGATAAACAATCGAAAATCAGTAATCAATTTTTTCAAAATTAAAATTTAACAATCTATTCTTAAAGACGAGAAACTGTCAAAATCGATAATTGAGTTTTGTTCTTTAAAACCAAATATATATTCTTATATTTTTGATAAACAAAATAAAAAATCGCTAAAGAAATTAAAAAGTCTGTTATAGAAACATTTAATTATGATAAACATAAAAAAGTTTTATTCAACGCAGAGCTATTAAGACATCAGCAATATGGGATTAATTAAAAGAAAAAAATTATGTAATAACAGCATACCGGTAAAACAAAATTTCACTTTTACCATTTTATGATAAAAAATTCATTCTAGATAATGGAACAGACATGTTATTGTTGGGTCATTACAGCCTCTACTTTCATTCTTACAGATTTTTAAATATTATCATTATCTTCACAATACGGATTTTTAATAGTATGCAAACAAAAACATACTTATGTAATACATAAGTGTATATTCGTATTTTTTATGTAATACATAAGTATATTTTCATTGTAGCGAATGTAAAATTAGATGAGGCAAGAATAATTAAAACGATCCATTCTCTCCGAGTATTGTGTTGGGTTTGGAAATAATGGAGATATATAAGACTAAAGTAAATAACAGTTGCTTAAATGCCAAAAACGCTAATGCTGTTCTAACGGCCTGGAAATATGTAATAGAAAAGGAAATCGGAATTAAAAACCCTTAAACTTGTAGCGGTGTATTTCAACTAGTTTAATGTATATTGTCGTTATATTAGTTTATTTGTACATTTTGTTTAATTATATAATATGTTAGTATTTTGTTAGCTATTTAACGTTTACAGTTTAATGTAAAGATTAAAAAAATATGTTCGAAAATTTTAAATTTAAAAAATGTTCAAAAAGCTTTGTGTTTGAATGTAGAACAGTAATTATGTATATAAAAATGAATGTATGTCTGTCTATTCGTCTGTCCTTCATGCATTACCACACCGTTTATCCGATTGCCATGAAACTTTGGGAAGTAATATACTCCCGCGAAGGTTTCTGGCATAGTACATTTATCCTACGATAGATGGCGCTCGTGTCTACGAGCATTTCGCTGTGTGCCCGATCGATTTCAAACACAAAGATGTGAAGACCATTTCCCCCTTTCAAAAAATATATCTATATATGCATTTGTGAACTGTTATTTACGATATTTGTAATAATTTTTGTTAAATACTTTATTTCAACTTTTTTTGCTAATTATGTATTCGCTCGAACTTTGTTAAAACCTTAACTGTATCCCGAACAACAACCGAAGTTGTAGGAAGAAATTCGCCTATTTTACCGATCTAGGAATCCCATTTTTCCAAATTTTAATATCGACTGAAAATAATTTAAAAAGACAAATTACAATAAAACGGTTTATTATCCAACTATCAGAAATTTCACAACGTGCCAAGGAAGAGAGGAGGGAGCAATTAAATAGTTAAAATTATAAAGGATTTAAAAATATGTATAAAAATGGAAAATATTGCACTTCTGACAATCGCTGCGAGTGTGTTGGTTAAATTTGGAGAATCCATGCTTCTCGCATGGACAACTGTATGTGGCCAGCTCACGCCTCGGTAAAGCTTCTGATTTATTAGTGTATGCACCAGTCGGAAAAATAAAAAATATCGTTTATCCACAAGCACTCCAATAAATAAATAGAATTGAAACGACACTTTGAAATGTTTTCCCGATGAAAATGAATAATAATAATATTATTATTATTATTATTATTATAAGTTTCAATAAAAATGATAAAATGTTAATTGAATCTTATCATAACGAGTTTGATTGAATTTCGTTTTTTCTGCGATCGCAGCAATGCGTGACGGGTAAGCTAGTTTCCTATGTTTGTAATACATAGTGTTTGTAATAAAACTTATCAGTGTTTAAATCAACATGTAATAAAGCCATCATTAAAACTGTCTAACAATAAAACATACAAATGTAAGTTTTTTGTAATAAATGATAAAATAACGTTATTGATATATGACAAATAATTTACAAGATGTGACTGTATGAAATGTAATAAATAATTTTGTATCTATTAATATATGTACTCAATTTAAATAATTTCATCCATTTACATGTGTATTCAATTTGAATAATGTATTCTATTATGATATCCATGTAATAAAATGTTATTAATATGAATAATGTATTCTATCATGTAACTAAATAAATAAATATTTCCTAACAAAAAAAAACACAATTTTGTTTCTTTATAGACAATACTCAACTGCTAATTGAATGGGGAAATTTTTCATCTTTGCCATTAGAAGAAAAGACTATTCGTCATTTAAGAAATTATATTGTCTGAGATATCATCAGTCAATTAAACGATGTATCTCCTACATTCATTTCTGAATTTTCTGGTAAGTTAAATTGGGAAATTTTGTGAAAAAATTATATATTCTCTACTTCATTTTTTGAAAAACATTTTAAATATGCAAAATGGAATTTCATTTGTGAGTATCAGGTGTTAGACAAATTATTCTTAACCAACTTTTCACAATATCTTGATAGGAATAAAGCTTCAGAATTTCAAATTCTTTCAGATAATTTTATTAGGCGATATATATATTAGTTTTATATTAAGAAAATTTTAAAATACCAACAATTAAAAACTATGACTTTACGCGTATTAAAAGATGATCTAGATTGGAGTTCTGTTTCTCGTTACCAAATATTTGACCAGCAATTTATTGACGACTTTCAAAATCGACTTTCTTGGTGTTACATTTTAAAATATTAATAATTAGACCGAGAATATATTGTCAACAATCTTCAAAATATATTACTCCACTTACTTGCAGAAATGTGTCATGTTTTAGATAAAGTGAATGAAAAAACTGGAAAAGCTTAAATAAAATAAACTTCTTTACATCTATTAATTTATAAATAAAAAAGATTTCAAAAATAATTTCGTTTGGATGTTATATTATTTCAAATTGTCACGTTTTAATTTAGTCAACAAATTTTTATTTTAAACAAATTATTATTACAAATTCGTACGACTTAATTTTATAATGATAAATTTAATAAATAGACAGAATGTATTAAACTTATTGTTAAAATAAAATTAATTTAATTAAGATTTGTGATCAGTTCTGCTCAAACTACTACTACTGCGAACATATATTTTAAGTTAAATAAATGTAAAGCATGATTAAAAATTGCAACCTGGAGTATGACGATATCACAATTTATTAATAATTGCTTGTATATATTCTTTAATTAATAAGTAACAGCAATTTTTAGTCTGTATAAAAATGAATAAGAGGTGTTACGTTGTGTTGCAGACGTGTGGTAGGACTGCTTGAATTCAATATTTAAACTGGAGTAATAGCTCACAGAGTGTAAATGTGCCAAGTTTACAAACATTTCTATAATACAGAACCACGTGTAAAAATGACATTTAATCAAGTTAAAAATTTTAATAAATTTAATATTTAAAAATTCTGACTGTAGGTAAGGTGTAAAATATTATGCCATTTAATCCAGAATCAAAATTGGTGAAAAGCATTTCGATTGCTCTGTGTAAAGTAAATTGGTACACTAAACGTTTTGAAATATAATTTTTAAGAATTTATTACTGAAATTTAATATACTACACTCGGCGCATTGACTTTAATCGGTCTAAAGGAAGAGGGCCTATGCCATATGACAAGGATAGACGACATTAAGAGTTTACTCATCGATCACAGTGATATAATTTGTAAAAATGTAATTAGCTAAATTATTTATGAGAAATTATGCGTAAAAACCTTTTAATAATGTAAAAAACAAAACAGCTAAAAGAGATCAAAAATACATGTAAACGTTTACAGATCGTATTCCATTCCTTTTATTTAACATAGAGCCTTCCTGCTTAGGCTGATCATGTCCACTCTTACCCTACGCGGATTATCATATTGATAACAACCTGGAATACATGAAACATTGAACTATGAACAACTGGTTTGCAATTTATGGATTTTCTCTTTTCTGAAACAAAATATCTCCGTTTTTCATCGTTTTTCGATAGTCATTCTTATACCGAATTTAGGACAAAGAATGACATCACCGGATTCGAAAATCTTATCTCTATGGTCCAAAGACTTCACTCGAAAATGACGAATAACATTCGCTAAAACTGTTTTCATCTCCATCATGGCGAATCTTTGACCTGAACAAAAGTAAATGGTTACAAACACGTACAAGCCTTTGTCTCGTGTCACGGTTACTCACCTATGCAATTGCGTGGACCGGCAGAGAACGGCACAAATGCAAAGGGATGACGTTTCTCGCAGTTTTCTGGTAGAAATCGATCCGGATCGAACACTTCGGGATTTTCAAACACCGTTGGATTATGATGAATTCCATAAATGTTTACTGCAAGAGACGAATTTGCTGGCAAGATATAATTACCTGAAAGAAAATTTAATTAAGTGTTTTCAATGCAACTAATGCCATTGTTCCAACATGTAATAACTTGAAAAATGCAATACATACCTACTTTCATATCGGAAGGATTTTTTCTCAATATGAATGGTACCGGAGGATAAATCCTAAGTGTTTCCTGAAATTACTCCGATATTTTAAAATGTTATCGAGTATTTGAAACTTAATTAAATCTCCCTTTCTGGCTTGTATGCCAGAAAAAGGATTTTCGTAGGTAAAAGGCGACATAACATCTCCAACACAATGCTTTTGCTCCCGTTTCGGATAAACGGGAGGTTCAAATCAAACTCAATTTGAATCAATCGGCTGGTTCTTAACTTCGGCCTTCAGTCAATCTTTTGTTTTTTTTCAAACAGAATTCACAAAGTATAAAAAAGTTTGTTGCTTTTATATACCTTCTGTTAAATTTCAAAATGTTTGTATAATATAAAAAAGGAGACATGTGAAATACGTCTCATAAATATATAAGTATATGAAGATAAACTTATACAATATGTTTCTCCATTTTTGTTTCACTTCTGTAACAAGAAATATTGGAGGTTAAACAGAAAAACTTAAAATATTGTAACTTCTGTTTTTTAGCGCTGGTGTTATAAGTATAGTTTAAGTGTAAAAATCAGTAAAAGTAGCCTAAGTGTACGTGATCAAATCACGTACACTTAGGCTACTTGTACTGATTACTTTTACTTTTACTGTTTATACTTAAATGTCAGAGTTGAATAGTTTCCATTCTTCACATGTACAGAGAGTCTGATGAGGAAACATTCTAAGAAATTGTCAACTTCCAACCAGTGAAGAGTCGAGAAAGAACTGAAATCGCTCGTCTATTGATTGCAGAGAGATGTCCGATTTGAAAATCGACCCGGTACAATATTCAGCTTGAACTACACAAGTATTTTTGTCCTGAAATCTTGGAAACACTTGCTATAGAATATACTCATTCGCTGTCTTCATCAAGTTAAATTATCGTGACTCATAATGATGATTTTTCTAGTAATATTCTTATTGTCACCTCTTCACTGTTTTGTATTATTTATAAATATTATATAATTTTTCTGCACTCCAATATTTCATGTTCAGTATTAGCGTCAGTTTAGTTTTATATGTATTAACTTTAAAGTCATTATTATTGTATATACTCTTCCTGATTCTAATCTCCTTGGAATATATTGCTATATTGTTTCTTTTCTGAATACTTAATAACAACAATTTACAGTGGTATCTCATAATTCAAACGTTTTCGAGTTAAAAGACTAAATTCGAAAGAAATCCGATCTATAGGTCGAACTAGCTTCTACTTTCGAACTGCGCGCGCAGTGAAAATATGTGCTAGCAGCTGAAACGCCATCTTTTGAGTGCCCGAAGCTCTTTCACTCTCGGTATACAAGTGCATATTATGTAACGTTCGTGTGTTTTAGGTTTTGTTTTATTTCTTGTGTGTTTGCTTATACCAGAACATGTTAAACCACGGCATCAATGAAGAGTGAGAAAGCCACAATGTCTTAAAAAAAACTTGTATTATTGATGATTGAAGTGAAAAATAACTTATCAAAAAGCATGAAAGCTATACACATGTGACAGATAAATGTCAATATGAAAGATGTCCATGTCTGCTGCGTACACCATTCTTAAGAACAAGGAAGCAATAAAAGCAACAAACTTAGGTAAAGTTGTGGCAAGTTTGACTTTCAGTAGATCGCATGTTATGGAAAAGATATAAAAATTTTTCCCAGTGTGAAAAAAAATGAAAAGCATTTAGCTGGTAATATTATTTTTGATAGGTTTATTTCTAAGCCAACAGCTGTATACTTACCTAAAAAAATGAGACATCACTACTCCTCACTAAGACACGGTAAATTCAATTTTCATTTTATTATACAAAATTTACTTATTTAATATATTGTTCTCGTGTCTTATTTTATGATTAAAAAAATTAATTTTGTCATTTTTACTTTATATTCTCCGTATTTTTTTCTACGTTTATCGAAATAGATATTATTCAGTGTCAGGAAGGGAGTAATTTATTTTCTGTTATATCTAATAAGAGAAATTGATTCGAAGTTCGAAGAATTCAGAGTTTGGACGGTCTCGTGGAACGAATTAAATTCAAAGTACGAAGTACCATTGTGCTAAAAACATATAAAATTCTTGTAAATAAGATTCAACTATTATCTAATTCTATAAGAACACAATTTCCTTTCCAGTAAATATTATTAAATTCGATTCACGGTGTCTTTTACATAAATACAGTATATTGATAAACGAATTATTGAAACACCGTGTTCTGTTATTTCCAGTGAAAGTTTTTCATCTTTTAGTTACATTACAAATCGGTTCTATGTATTTAAATAAGAAGTAAAAGGTACAACGTATTAAAATTTAAGCACATTTCGCTTTGTTTATTACCACGAATAAAACTAATATTTAAGGAATTTTTATATTAAATTTTAAAAATTTCGAAATTTAATATTTATAATACATTATTGTATTGAATATGTATTGGTTCGTTAAGATAAAAAGAGTCATTTCGATTCTTTCTAGAATTTGAAAAAACTGCTTTTCAAAGTTCGATGCAGTTGCATAAGCAGTGTAAACAAAAGGCATTTCATAGGTGATGAAAAGCTAAACCTGCTATTGAAGACCGATAGCACATAACACGGGAATGATTTGCGTTGTTTAGGCGTCATCATGACGTGCTACTTCCAACTGACATCACTGTCACGTAAGATTGCTACTGTGAAAAAGTGGATCTTTTGAACAGCAAGTTCAAACAACTTCGTTCAAAACATGAGACAGTCTCATACCGTCACAATAATGCGCCTCAGAAAAGTAAGCCAATCATTCGGCCTTATTCATTTTATTGCATATTTTTTGAGCCAAATGATTGCCGTGTATTTCGTGTCATGCGCAACCATTATGTCAATATACAGTTCAATGGCAATTCATCAAGTTCGAGACTTTAAAAAAAAAAAAAAAAAAGTTATTCTAAGCCGAAGCGATTGAAAGCTTGCAGCAAAAGTGTCGAGAGTGTTATCTATAGTATTATTTATCTAATAGAATTAACTGTAATTTTTTTACTTAATTGTCAACAATTGATTGTAAATGTCTAATTTTTATCTTTCCACCAACATTTAAAGTAAATTGTTACCTTGACAACACATTCCAGATACTTCATTTTTCTAAGCTCTTCGGACGTAATAGACTTATGCATCTCTTCACCAAAAATTTCCTCCAGCTCCTGGTATACTTTTTCTTGTATATCGGGATGCAATCCTAGCAAATAAAGAGACCAACTAATTCCCATTGCCGTTGTGTCGTGCCCCTAAAAATAACACAACCTCATTATTACACAACCTCAATCTCTTATTACTAAATTCGTGAATAAAACTCATTTTACTTCAAACATGAAAGTGTCGACTTCTTCTCTGATATCTTCTTTGCTAAGACTTCTATCCGTTAAATGATGACACAGTAGTAATTCCAGAAATGCTCGCCTTTTCTTTATCCCTGTAACTTCATTCTCTTCTTGAAAGTTGTTGATTATTTGATTATCTTTCAGTTCTTCGATCATTTTCCGTTTCTTTTCTCTAATTACCTGAATTGTTTTCATTCATTAATAAACATCGTAAATAGTTTACAAATAAAAACAAATGAACTTGCCTTTCTGTCGAATCTGTGAATGGTTTCAATGTTTTTGTGAAATTGTTTTCCTAAGGGACTCAAGTTGAAAATGGGACTGAACCAATACCAAGGTTTTGTGAACCATTGAATAATTGCAGATGTTATACTGAATCATAAAACACAATGTCGTATATTATAAATGCTTCAAGTAACTAGAATATTTTTATACTTTTAAAAATATTTTAAAATCTTAAGCCGTAAACAAAATTTCCTTTTTTTTAAACTTCGTAAAATATTAGTATATTGTCATTATTAGATTGAGATACAAAAATGATTTTAAAAGTTCAACTTAGTTTTGTTACTCACTATTACAATACTTAGATAAACAACCTATTTCAGCAATTATTTTTTATTCATCTAACGTTCTCACCTATCTTTCTAGCCATCGTCAGAATCGAACGTTTTTCAAATAGTATTCTTTAAAGTTTAAAAAATTATGTTTAGAAATACGCCAAATAAGCGTTATCATAACTTTTGTTAAGATATTGTATTACGAATGAAAATTGTAACAATGTTCTTGTTTAGGATATTGTAACAATTTACATTTGTAAAACAATATCTTAACGGAAGTTGTGATAAGGCTATTGGGCCTATTCGAAATCTTAGCGTGTTGGCAGCACTTCTCAGTTTTCTAATAAATACTTAATAATGAATGTGTGACAATAAATATAAATTATTTATTTTTTACTTATTGCAAAACTACCTTATAGTCAAATAGTTTGATACCGTTATATTGATATACTGTAAGGTCTCTTTTTATGCAAATTATTTTTATGCGATTTTGAAGTTGTGCAATTTGTATTTCATCCAAAAATTTCTTGGACAAACATACATATAGGCTTGTTTAGGAAGCCCGCGTATAGACAGTCTCCAAAAATCGTGGAACGCTCAAAGCTCACTCCATTTGTTCCACTGACATATAACGTTTATGGATGTAAAGGACAGCTAGATCTACCTTAATCGCTTTAGTTCCTAGCAATTTTTGATATAAATGTAATTAAACATAAAAAATACTTAAAACTGAAAAAAACGAAAGAAATGCGTTAATTTTGAAGAAAAAGCTTCAAAGTTTAACTTCCTTTGTCTCGCCCTTCTGTGAAATTTAACACCGATGAGTCATTGTTTACACATCTGGATGACCTTGAACACAGCTGGAGTTGGATTTCCCGGGGCATTCTCATAGACGTCGCGGGAGGACAAGGGTTTAAAGTAGGGTGAACACTAGCTGGCCGTATATTTTTAAATATTTTTTAAAAATTTGGAGACTTAAAAAACATTCCAAAAATTCAAAAAAAAATTTCAAAAAGCCTTAAGGACCGTGTTTTATGTAACGCTATGTAATCTGCCGGAGTTAACTCGGGCGAGGAACTAAAGGGGTTTTAATTAACTCTTCACATCCAGATGTCAGTGATTTGTTTTTAGAGTGAGCTTTTGCAATTCGGGGATTCCCCTTGTACATGATACTTACCATCGACAAGTCGCTATTACATCATCTTGAGTTTCGCATTGACAGGTATAAACTGTAATTATTTTGAAATTAAATTTTATATGAATTTCTTTCAGACATTCGAAGTAATTTAGTAATTAAGCAGCCTATTTCTTTTAATTTCTGCAAACATTTTTATGCGGTTTTAAGTTAATTTTAACTCGTTGTTTTGGTTTTATGCGATTTTAGAAAATTACGGAACGTATCCCTACTTTTTCAAGGCATGTAAAGTCTTTTTTTATGCGAATTTTTTATATGCGCTTTTCTATAGAACGTATCCACCGCATAAAACGAGACCTTACAGTACTTAATTGCGTCGATGGATGTAAAATCTTATTTAGAGGATATTCAGTGTATTTTTCCCTTATGAAAAAAACAGCAAGGATTGCGTTGTATGCGAAAATGGAAACTCTTTCATTTCTTCCATAGAACCACAGGGCACATAAAGCAAGCTGTATTTTATGTGAAAGTGTGTAACAGCTTGAAACTACAAGTGGTCTTGGAAAAGAATTTTATCCATTCTATGAATCTACCTTGTACTCTTAATTGACTGTGAAAGGTCGTTTGTCATCTTTGGTCTATTATCACCTATTGCAATTATGATTACTCCTAAAAAAAGCTGAGATTTTTGTAAAAAAGCGATAGAGATAAACGAAAATAGTGAATACATGGAAATTAAAAAAAAAATAGCTAGAAAATCCTTGGAGTTATTCAAAAGTAAGTTATAAATACTTTTGAATAAAAAAGTTCTATTCAGATTTGTTATTAAATATTTCTTTTTAACTTACTGATTAATGGCAACAACGTACTCGTTACCAGATCTGTCTTGACTGTTGAATTGAACTCCCATTGCTGAATCTGTAAATTATAATAATATATTTATAGAATAACAAATTGAATATGTACACTTTTCTTAATAAAGTTGTCTGTTATAACTGTAATAAATTACGAACATAATGTGACTCAATTTGAGAAAGAACTTTTCAAATGAAAGCGTTGAAACAAATTGAAAATATTTTCCTTTTTTTTATGATTATGAAAATAACACATTCCAATGGTTTAATGCTTCAGCATATCGATAAGAAATTTCGCAATGGCATTCGGACTTGCAATCAAAAGTTTTTGTTGTCTTTAATTAAGAATCTATCGTACCTGTGCCTCATTATTCTTTTTGTGCTATTGACTGGTTGACTATATGCTGTGTATGATTAAAATAGATTTTCTTATTCGCAAAATAAAAAGAAAACCCAAATCTCGAAATTCTTCTCATCTCGAAAAATCTTGCAAATTTCTTAAAAGTTCACTTTTTTCTTATTTTGTGTTAAGGTTGAGAAAATTTTTCAATTAGAAGTATAGTTATTTTATAACTATACTTAGAAGTATAGTTATTTTAAAAATAATTAATACTATCCCGGGAAATCCCGGGATACCGGGAAACAGTTCAGTTTTATCCTGGAATCCTGAGACAAGCAAAAAACTGGGAAACGAGGAACCCTAGTCGTAACGAAAAGTTTAAAAAAACACACTCTCAACTGCAAGTTCATTTTTCAGCATATTTTCGAACCATATGAAAAAAAAATGTTAAAAACACGTTTTCTGCTTGAGAAAATGATTTTTCTGCAAGTAAACATTGCTTAATTAATTCTTACCTCCAATAATATCCAAAGTGCACAGTCTGATTAGCTCATCAATAAGAAACTCTTCATTTTCCTTTTTCTTCTTCAACTTTTGAATTAAGATGTTTGACTGATCGTTAAAAATTCCTTGAAAGTCTTCGAGAATTCGAAAGTGAAATGCTGGTGTTAACAATTTTCTACGATGCCTCCACTTATCGTTCGAACTGTTTCGATTGTAAACCAATAAATTACTTGTATTAATGTGAAATATTTAATCATCATTTACCTTGTTAAAAGACCTGTTCCCAGCCACGGATGAAGAATATTATAAAGCCAATCTTTGTTGATCACGGTGTAACTCTTCAGTACTTCCTGTGTTAAATAATTAATTGTTAACTTTAAAATAACATCTAAATACAATATGCGTTATAGCAGTTATACCTGAGCCACTTCGGGATGAGATAATAGAATATAATGATAGCCACCCGAAGAAAATTTCATTAGTTTCTCTTCGATGAATCCCATACACGCACAACTCAATAGTTGAATTATAACTAGAAAAATTTAATAAACAGGGCATTAACTTTTATTTATCGTTATTCGAAAACAAATTCGTAAATAATAACTTTATATCGTAACATATAATTTAATACTTTGAAATTATACTTACAGATGCCACAAAGTTTTCGATAATCTTGCGCTTTTACTGGACAGAAAATCAAATTCCAAAGAAGAGGCCAATTTGGGAATTTCGGTATTTCGTTCTTCGATTTGTTGTCACTCTTTTTCTTCCATATTGAGAGACCTGAATAAATATAGCTAATTTTCATTCTGTATTGAATACATATATCGACACATTCTGTATTGAATACGATCATTCTCATTGGCGTATGGTTAAAATAGGAAATTCGGTTTAATTTAACAACTTCATATTTTTCGGTCGATACTGGAATGGGAAAATAATAGAAGGAAAAAGGCAGATGAAGGACTTCGTTGAATAAAAATATAAAATCACGGACTGATTTTACTATGGAAAAGCTTATAAGAACAGTTTGGAACAGAAAACCGTTTTCCGATGTGATCGTCGTATGCCGAATGGAAACAGCATTACAAGAGGAAGTTATTTTATGTTTCTTAATTATTTCTCTCAAATAAATGTAGTTTTATATATAAATGTAGTTTTATATAAATTACATGCTACTTTTATTTTTTATGATGTACACCTATATATATATATATATATTATTCAAATTTTACTATAATTAATTGTCATTTCTTTTTGTAATTTTGCCCTAAAATTTATTAAAAAATTAAAAGATCCGTTTAATGTTTCTAACAGAAATTATACAAGTTTATGTAAGCAAAATAATCTGTTCTTAAAACATTAATTGTTAACAATAAATATGCTGCGACTTCTCACTTAGCACTATGTAAATTCAATTAGTTGCTAAATTAGAACTAGAAGATATGGATCGGTGTATTCATTAAACGGTTTACGAAAGTGGAACAAAAAATGAATGGACTTATATGAAGCTGTCGTAAAATTTGTCAAAAACAAAGGAAACGTATCTAACACCTTGCGTAGGTTTCACTGTGTATTCGAAAATAACTCATTTAAATTTTCTTATAAGTGTGGAACAACTTCTTGTGGCAATTGGTCAAAAAAACGACCCCCAAGATTTTTACATTTCTGCACTCAAGATACATGAAAACGTCAAGAAATGAAAATAATAATAATAATAAAACATTTTTGAGTTTTTCTGTGTGTTAGTGTAGGCATATACGATGTAGTAACAATTCTGTTTACCCTCTTTGAAACTTTTGTGCTTTCTGTCCAAAATTTCTGAAATTTGGCAGCGACGTTTGTTTATTAGAGAAATTTATGATATTAAATTTTAGTGATTAAAGGCGAGGGGTGGTGAAATAATGGTAGTCGTGCGAATCTCCCTCGGGATTATATATAATGATGATTTTACTCATTAAGAGCATTTACAATTTTTTTATAAAACACATTCCTAATTTCAAATGTAAACCTTTTGCCATTTTATAATAGTTACAAATGTAAAAACTTTTTAATAAAATATCATACCAGATGGCGCTACCAAATTTTGCCTGCAAAGTTAAACAACTCGATATTGAATTTTTCACTTAGCACAGTCTTGCTCCAGATTTTATTCAATTCACTTTGGATGCTTCTTTTTGCTTTTTCTGCGTTGAAACAAAATAGAAGCACTAAATAGAAAAATTATGTTCACATTCTCTAATACTTTAACTCGGTCTTCAAATTCAAGTAGTAATTTTTGGATATTTAAAAAAATATTTTTTAGAAGTACAACCATATTATTATTATTATTATTTTATTTTTTCAAGCAGAAAAGTTAAACAAATCCTATCTATTGAACTGTTTTTTTTCCAAATTCACAGCTTTTATTTATTTTCTTTAATGTGCTCTGGCACAAATGTGGCAAGAAGATTTTGGCTAGGAAGTTTCATTTATACATTCACTGTCAGAGTTAGAGAAGAGTTCTGATGTAAAGCAGTGTTTGACTCCAATGCCTCAAACTGTTTCTTTGTTCAGAACAAATACAAAGGTTGAACTCCTTCTTTGTTGATCAATTCGCTTATGTTTCTAGTCGAAGGAACCGCATTCGTTCGTTAAGTGAGGAGTGTCTGTTCAGTTTTTTATCGTGTTGCTGCTACTCTGCACAGAGTACAGAGTAGCAGCACAGTTTAATTTTTTTCAAATCGAAAAAAAATCAATAACTCATGAAAGAGCGTTTAAAATTTTTGTGTTTATAAAACACAAGATAAATGTTTACAAATGAACCAATAAGAATAGATTTTATTCTAAAAAATAAAGCTAATAATGCTTTAAAAGTAATTAGAAAATGTAGAAATTGTGCTGCAAATTTGGAAAAAGAAATAGTTCTGTACATTCCAACTCTTGTCTGTCTGCCTATTTCTCATTTTTTATTTCTGAGAAAAAAGGAGTTAGATGAATCAACGTCAAGATAAGAGTTTGAAGCTAAACAAAAGAACTATTCACAAACTTCATTATCACATCAAAAGTCACGTTATTTTAATTCTAATTGTTCCCCTCACAGCAGTTAAAGACATGACGAGCACGACTTCTTTGCTTATTGGAAAAATATGATGTACGAGAACAAGACAGTACTAATTTGAAAAAGAAAATATATATTTTAAATTCAATATATTTAGAAATTATTAAGAATTGCAGACCGGCATTGTGACCGTGTCACAATACAATAATTATTTAATAATAACTAAGAATAGAAGAAACTAATCCCGCATGTTCATATACAACTATAATAATATAAAAAGTTCATGAATATTTAAAAATTAAATGATTGAAAAATTATTACATAAAATTTAAAACAAATGAAAGTTATGTTTGATAAATTTATTAAATAATTGATTAAATTGATTAAATAAAATTGAAATCAATTTTATTTAATCAATTTTGAACTGATCAAAATTTTGAACTGATTAAATAAAATTGAAATCAATTTTATTTAATCAGTTCAAAATTTTGTAAAATTAATCAATAATTTAATGTAATATTTTAACGCTAAAAGTGACACATTTGTCACCTTTTGTGAAAAAAGTAAAACTTCCTTTTTAATTAAAGAGATGTTATGACAGCTCTCTGACAAATATCTGTCATCTGAGCTTGGACAAATGTCATGTAAGACAATAGAATACCCCGATAGGTGTCATAAATGCAGAAACCCGATTGGAGTGAATCTGAAAAAAAGGAGTCAAATTTAGTAAATCGGGGAGACGACCATACAAATAGTTTCGGCATAATACAGCTTCGACCTCTCTTACTTTAGGTCATTTCCGTCTCCATATCCAAAGGCCGAATAAACCAGATCAGCGGTATCATTTTAAACTCATTTGTAAACACTCTGATATCTAGAAGTGTATTTAGTTGTCAGCTTATTTTCCTTGTACTTTATCTATACTAATATTAAAAAGAGGTAATGTTTGTATGTATGTATGTAAGTTTGTTTGCAGCAGGTAATCTCCGAAACTACTCATTTGATTTGAAAAATTCTTTCACCAATATTTAGAATGGAACCTCAGGGTAAACATAGGCTGTATATTATTCCGTTAAACATTCATATAAATTAAAAGATATAATCTAGGTTAAGGTTTTTATGTCCAACAGATGGCGCTACGAGTACGACGCCCTAAGTTTGCTTTTCTGCGAGGCATTACGCTTTTCTGTGAAAATGAACTAAAGCGGATCATCTTCTATCTATCTATATAAATAAAAATGTAATGTTCGTTTCTTCCTACCGATTCCCTTGAAATTTTGACACAACGCTGCATTCGAATACGCACGTGTTTTTATATACGGGTCGAAATTCTTCCCACTGAAGGGAGATGGTTAGGATTAAGGCTTTACCGTAAAGAACTCTGCTTCTATTTATACTATTTTAGATGCGGTTTTTTGCGTTTTAATAGGGTATGTCAACAGAATGTACACTAAGAAGAAATTTTTCGAAANATTTAATGTAATATTTTAACGCTAAAAGTGACACATTTGTCACCTTTTGTGAAAAAAGTAAAACTTCCTTTTTAATTAAAGAGATGTTATGACAGCTCTCTGACAAATATCTGTCATCTGAGCTTGGACAAATGTCATGTAAGACAATAGAATACCCCGATAGGTGTTATAAATGCAGAAACCCGATTGGAGTGAATCTGAAAAAAAGGAGTCAAATTTAGTAAATCGGGGAGACGACCATACAAATAGTTTCGGCATAATACAGCTTCGACCTCTCTTACTTTAGGTCATTTCCGTCTCCATATCCAAAGGCCGAATAAACCAGATCAGCGGTATCATTTTAAACTCATTTGTAAACACTCTGATATCTAGAAGTGTATTTAGTTGTCAGCTTATTTTCCTTGTACTTTATCTATACTAATATTAAAAAGAGGTAATGTTTGTATGTATGTATGTAAGTTTGTTTGCAGCAGGTAATCTCCGAAACTACTCATTTGATTTGAAAAATTCTTTCACCAATATTTAGAATGGAACCTCAGGGTAAACATAGGCTGTATATTATTCCGTTAAACATTCATATAAATTAAAAGATATAATCTAGGTTAAGGTTTTTATGTCCAACAGATGGCGCTACGAGTACGACGCCCTAAGTTCGCTTTTCTGTGAAAATGAACTAAAGCGGATCATCTTCTATCTATCTATATAAATAAAAATGTAATGTTCGTTTCTTCCTACCGATTCCCTTGAAATTTTGACACAACGCTGCATTCGAATACGCACGTGTTTTTATATACGGGTCGAAATTCTTCCCACTGAAGGGAGATGGTTAGGATTAAGGCTTTACCGTAAAGAACTCTGCTTCTATTTATACTATTTTAGATGCGGTTTTTTGCATTTTAATAGGGTATGTCAACAGAATGTACACTAAGAAGAAATTTTTCGAAAAATTCCCTCCCCCCCCACGGGGAAGTGTTATAAATTTATAATAGATACATTTGAGCCACAACAACGCGTGGCGGAGTCTGCTAGTATATATATATATATATACTAGCAGACTCCGCTATTAAATTCTATGTGTTTCTGTAAATACTCCTGTCTACTCATTCAATTTATACATTGATCCTTGATTATTGGACCTTGATCGAACTTACTCGCAACTTTCCTCCCAACTCGCGTTTAAGACCCTGCTATATTTTAATTAAAGGCTTTCAGTGACATTATTAGCGGGTTCTAACGACGTAACGATTAGAGGGCTAACCCTCCTATGTATTCTCACATTATGTAAGGTTCTGAAAATGTTAAATCTGCTAAATATTGATATACGGGATTCTTTTTCTTTCGCCTTGTAAATTTTGTTTTCCATGTTTTAATATCGCCGATTATTATAAAAATATTGCTGTTAATTGAATATATTTTAATGAAAAAATAATAAATTCAACAGAAACATGATTAATATTCTTATTGCTCTGAAGAGTTTCCGTATAAACTTAGGCTATTTTCTTCCAACTTCCGATGGTCCATAAAACAAAGATAAGTGTAATTAAGAAAATGAATTTATAACCGGAAGTTAGCTGCAAACACGGTTAATCTACTTTTTGACATAATCAACGTAATGATCGAGGCATTTATCATATTTTTGGACGCGCTTTGCAATCCCTTTTTATATAGTGTTGCCACCTGCGACTTGAGATGGGCCTTAACGTTGTTTTAAAAATTGTAATTAATCTCGAACCTCTGCACTCCTAGCGCGCTTTCAGTTCAACAAAGAGGTAGAAGTCTTCACAAATTAAAAATGTAAAGACTTCCAATTTTCCAGACTTCCACCCCGCTTAGAGCTTTTTAAATACCCAGCGTGTAGCCCCAATTTAGTGTAGAGCGATCGGACAAAAAAATGACTGCTTCAAAATTTTTTCTTTTTGGACTCTGGGGGCCTAAAACTTTCGAGAAATGCAAAATATTGGGGATTTTTATGTATGGATCTTAGCGCGTGTTATCGGTCTTATGCATTTTGTCGAAAACTTCTAAAATTTTGCACGGAGCTTTTCGTATTAGGTAGATTGATGCTATTATATTTTAGTAGTTAAGAGTCGACTGGTTGGGGAGCTGAGGTGGTTGTGTGTATTTCCAGCAGGGTCGAACTTAATGACAAATTTACTGGTTATTAGTATTTAAAATTTTTATAACATCTATCCTCACTTTTAAAATTCATGTTTTTGCAATTTTATAATAGCTAAAATTATAATATATTTAAAATGAACTATGATAGCAGGTGTCTCCTCCAAATGTTGCTTGGATCCTTAAGCAACTAGTTTCTAAATTTCACCATCTTCACCGTCAAGGGCCAACTTGCAAGCCATCACTTATGTTACCGACAGACTTACCAGTGCCGTTCTTTGCACCGATTTTAAATCCATTCTCTTTGCCTGAAACAACTACAATGACAAATCCCCTACTATTACTCGCAACATCCATAACAAACTACACATCCACTACAGCCACGAGAAGCACATACACTTTGTCTGGACTCCCGCTAACCTAAGTATTGACATCAACGACAAAGCAGACGACCTCGCTAATAGCAATCTTCCAAACACAGTTAACACCAATTTTATAACCTCCGAAGAACTCCTATCATTAATTTTGATTACAAACACAACATGGAAGACATCTGGAGCCACTACCCAAATTACAATAACTATCCTTTGCTTAACGACGGTTGACATTCGGGCTAGGGTGTGTCAAACGAGATCCCGGATCCCGTGATCGCAATTGTTTTTTAATACGATAAATATCCCGGGAAATCCTGCAAATTTCTTATAAATTTACTTTTCTCTTAATTTGTGTTAAGGTTGAGGAGATTTTGCAATCAGAAGTATAATTAACTCATAAACTATAACAATACACATGTATTTATTAATTTTACACCTACTTATTACTTTTTTTTAATTTTTTCTTCTTATGGCATGTCATAAATGGTAAATAGTCAATATGTAGCCTATTTGTGACATGACTGAAAATTCTTTACATGTCAGAACCTGTAATATCTGGAATAATTGTGCTTATTCTATTTTAATTTTTAACCTTGCCCAGTAGCTTCAAGCCAAGTTACCCAAATTGGAGAAGGATAGACACGAGTAAGATGTCTGCAAGTATGAAGTTTTTCTTCATAAACCCCATTACTAAAGTCAAACGAACTGTCGAATTATCGGGCTATTAAAACCGAATAAAACCGCCGAGGCAGACAAATCAAGAATACTAGTGAGAAAAAGAGGTACTACAATTTCGAAAACGAACTAGAAATCTGCCAGACAATGGGTGAAAAAACACATAACATCTGTTTTCTCTTCATTAAACACGATTCCACTAACATCAATTCAATCGGAAAGGGCATTCTCGCTAGCAAGACTTTTCATTACTAAAATTGACATCAGATTGAGTAATCGGAGTATTGACCATCTTTGCTTTTTAAAAACTTATTATAAAAATTTTCAGTAATATTTTGTATTGTGTTTTATTTATTTCTACGTAATTCCAAGGTAATTTTTAATATATATCTTACATAACACTATCAATATGTTTTTGGAGGTTGCGGAACGTATTAAATTAAAAAATGAAAAATAATTATATCATTTGATTTCGTGATATTTTGTATATCTTAAATAAAATTAATTTTTTACCGAAAGTTTCGGGAAATAGTTCACTTTTATCTTGAAATCNTTTACAATAATATTTTGTATTATGTTTTATTTAAAAAACGAAAATTACCTTTTAAGTTAGAAGTTTAATCTAAGTTCATTTTTTAAAAATATTTCCACTCAATTCAAAGCATTTTGTTGTTGTTGTTGTTGTTGTATGCAGTTTCCAGCAAACTTTAATAAATTTCTTCTATTTGTGAAAATTTCTACGTAATTCAAAGGTAATTTTTAATATGTATCTTACACATCATTATTAATATGATTTTAGAGGTGCAGAACGTATTAAATTACTTTAAAAAATGAAAAATAATTATATCATTTGATTTCGTGATATTTTGTATATCTTAAAAATAATTAATTTCGTCCCGGGATTTCCCGGGATCCCTGGAAACAGTTCACTTTTATCCCGGAATCTCGGGACATGCAAAAGACCGGGAAATGAGAAACCCTAGTACAGTTGCAATCAGTGGCACGGAGACATTTCTTGTGGATGTAATCTACCAACGTATTCGGACGGCACAATCTTCCTAATCCGTGAAAATTAAAGATGATGATGGTCATTACTCATTATCTTGTCGGTTGACGGAGCAACTTTTGTTTTCTTTGGAGTGAGGAATAATGGTGGTGTACGCACTGCGCTGTAGGCTCGTTTGATCTCGGGATCTCCATTATAAACTATTTCAAAAATTTCATAAGCTTTCATAGCTGCTTTTCGCAAGCGGAAGCAAAATTTCAGACTTTATACTCTCATCACAATCATCCTGTGTTTTTTTTATATGCGAACACAAACTCTATTTAATTCTTTTTACCTCTATGTCCTTACTCACCTGTGAAAATAAAGATAATTTGTTTTGACTTTTGACTAAGTTCTCCTCTATCTGCTAATCGGAAANTTTAATCAACCGCACCAGGACCAACTCTTTACTTACAAATCACTTTCTTTACACCAGAAAAATAAAAACTAATGATAAATGCAGTTACTGTCCAGACCAGATCTTTATAAATAAATCAATAACGATACGTTTTATCTCTAGCAAAACAAAGCAAGTAATACTTTAAAAATAATAAACATAAAAATACTCATTATTTAGATATATCTTAGGTTAAAAAGAAATTGTCAACTAAGCATTAAAAATTATAATTTTAAGCAAAAAGTTTGCATTTAAATTCGTTTTTCTCGTTTTAATATATGCAAATGTTCCATAAAAAACCAAGAAAAATTTACTAAACCGAAGATTGTTATAAAGTTTTTTTTTTATTAAATTAACGATATTTTCAAACATTTACTTACTTTCAGATGCAGAGGAAGACGGATAATTTTCCTGTTGTTTTGTTTTGTTATTCCATTTCTTTCCTAATAAATATATCACTAGAAGAGATATAATAAGCAAACTTAAAAAAATTTGGAAAGTCGAGAGAAACATGGTTAATATCTTCTTGCTCTACGGTTTGTATGTAATATGATAAGTAATAATTGTCTACGTGTATATTGATATATCTGTAAAACTATTAGCATGGAAAAATGTCAATTAAAATCAGAATTTCTATGACACGTGCCAATGTTTGACGTCTAAACTCGTCATACAGCAAACCGAAAGTGCATTAATGATTTTTTTCTAGCGTGTCTATAATTTAACCTAGAATTTGAAGTATTTGCAAAATATTTCGATTAAAAAGTAATCATAATCTAAGGATATTTTTCTAAAAGTTATATAATTAAAAAAATATTATTTTTAATACAATTAGGTTTATTGTTATTTGAGATGGAAACGATACTTTTTATCTACCCGGGATACACAGAGCATGGTGGTTTTGGAGCATGATATTCGATCATCGGTCAGACCCGGTAAACATTTTCGGTGCTTTGACGGAAAATAAGTACGCGCCACGAATTTCGGGGGAACTGACGAAAGCTATACCCGACACTGTGATTCGGCAACACATTTCATGACCGCAGATGGCATCAAAAATTTTCACTAGCGCGAATGGATGATAATCTCCGTTGTAACAGTCAGAAAAATAACGTTGCCCTGTCTCTTGCTAAGTTCACAGTAATAACAAAATACATAATGTGTTTTTAAACATCATTCATATAAAAAAATGATAACGTACGTGCTGAAGCAAAAAATAACATATGGAATAAATGTTTCGAGAACTGCATACAATTACGCAGATAACAAACCACAAGTGGTGCAAATCGTTTTATCTCACCATTCATATCCTACATTTTACAGATTCGGTGTCAGAATACTCTCAACTTGATATAATCTACACAATTTTTTAGCTTATACATAAGACGAGTTTAGCTGGCTAGCCACAGATTCGTTATGGGTAAAAAAAATAATAGCTTTACAATATAATATGAAAATATCGTAACGTTTCTCTCCGAAATACCCGAACAACTTTCGGTTACTTTCTCATATAGCTACGCTTAGGTTAAAAAAATCGCCATCGATGTTCTAGGTGAGTATTTCCTAAACTATGGATGTCGACTCTAAATGGGGTGACGAAGAGAAATGTTCTGGTCACAGAAATTAAATTTAAACTGTTGAATTTGAAGCAAAATTAATCTATTGTTTTATTATCGTTAATTAAAACTATTACATCTTTTGTACAGCTGACTTATAAAAGAATAATATTGGACAAATCGCCTAGCAAATTGTATTCAGATATTTAAAATACACCCGAGCGCATGGTAATTGCGGGGACGCATTGTAATTCGGCGTATAATTTATTTAACAAAGGCAAACACGTAACTTGATGGTCCATGCAAGCGCATTAATAATAAAATCACATGTAATCACAGCTTTAATTAACATTTATGATGTTAATAATTTGTCATATAAACTTCAAAAAAAATTCTCTCATTTAAAACTATAATTTCAACAAAAATTCTTAACTCAATTATGAAGAAGTTGAATTTGGCGTTAAATGTTCTTTTGATATTCGTTACTAAATACTTATGTGAAACGCCTTTTTCACTTCTAACTGTTATTAAATCCGAATATCATTTAACATTGAAATATCTTGTAGATGCTTAAGGTTCAGCAGTGTCAAATATTGCACCTACGTTTAAACTGTTCTGCTTGAAAATAAAACAAGCACATTTATTTCATTAAACCGCAATTTATTTTCATTAATATTTGAATACTTAAACCAAATCCTAAAGCTGTATTTTTATGTATGTATATTGCTTGCAAATAAACAAAGTTGTTACGGGCAATATTTCTTTGTATTTATTTTATATTTAACACCTGATCCTGGGTGGCGAAAAAATGCTGATTATAAAATGGAATCTCGAATAAAAAATGTTTAGGAAACACAGTTTCAGGTAATAATACATTGGAACAACTTGAATAATAGATCTAAGGAAATATCGAGTTAGAAAGTTTTAAAAAAGTAATGTCACAGTGTCTTTTCTTTATAAATAAAAATTAAAATATAAAAAAATTGAGCGAATCTTCTCATTAATTAATTCAAGTAAAATAAAGTTTAAAATAAAATATATATAGTAAGTAACTTATTGTATTTCGGTTTTTTCGCTATAGATTTCTTACCTTTAATTGTCAAGTATTTAACAAATGTCGAAATTATTATTCGTTAAAAATAAAACTAGAAACAATAAAAGGAAACTTATCAAAATAAAGTCATTTTTAAAGTAAAGCTGAAGTCACGGTTGTGATTTCAAATTACGATTTGATTGTCACATACGAAACTAATCAATAGGATCTTGAAGCGAGACAGAATATTAAAAAAATTTAATGTGCAATTGTCTAG